AGGGACTCTGTTTTGGTGGGTTTTTCTTAATACCTTTCCTGTGTAGGACTCCTTTCCTCCAAAACATCAGAGTACCTTCTGAGAGCATTTCCCATGTTATTTGGATAATCCCATCAGAAATTGCGTGCAGAACCTTTTTCTGCTTCCATATGTGTCCTCCATCTTCCATTCACACAGGTGGTTACAATGGACTTTTTTTGTTTTTTAATATAATCAATCTTTTTATCCCTCATATTGGCTAAAACAGCCAAAATATCTGTTGAATATTTCTGAATTTTCAATTTTGCACCCTGAAAAATAAAAATGTCTGCATTTTTCCATTGATTTGAGAGCATCCTAAGAAAAACTGAATATTATAAAACTCAGATTTTTATAACTAATGCTTTCTAGAAACTTTGTGTGGTGTATATAAGCTGTTTTCTACATCAGCTAAATTGTCACAAGACTTAAAAGAAAAAGACAAAAAGCAACCTCCCTTCATGTTGTTAAGTGCCATTGAGTCGGTTCTGACCCATAGTGACCCCATTTAGGTTTCCCAAGGAGCCACTGGTAAGTTTGAACTGCCAACTGTGAGGTTCAAACTGACCTTGCGGTCCAGTGCTTATCTTATAGCACCACACCAGGACTCCTCAACCTCCTTTAAAGTTGTGTATAATCAACGAGATAGAAAGGGAAGCTTCTTAAAGGAATTGACAGATAGCTGGTGCTCATCGTTTCCCCCTTTCCTTCTTTTTGCTCAAAGTATATATGTAACAGTTAGAGCTCTAGCAACTATATTGGATTATAAATAACCTTGAGAATGGAAGCCAAGTGCTGAGGTGAGGGAGCAAACAGATGGAAGGAGATGGGTTCTGGGCAATCAACCATGTAGCAGCCATACCAGTCCTAAACTATTCCCCTGTACGTTTCTGTTATTGGGATGATGCTCTGGAATGAATTATATCCCTCCCAAATATGTGTTGTAAATCCTAAACTGTGATTCTAATCCCATTTGGGAATGGGTTGTCTTTGTTATTTTAATGAGGCTGGATTCATGTAAAGTGTATCTTCAATCAATTTCTTTTGAGATATAAAAGAGATTAACAAGAGAGCAGAGGAAAGATGGGCTAAAATAGATGCCAAGACACACTGAGGTCTCCAAGGAAACAGGAAGCAAAACCTGAAGAGACTAGGACCTCCCTCTGGAGCAGATACAGAGAGAAAGCCTTCCCCCAGAACCAAGGCACTGAATTCAGACTTCTAGCTTCCTGAACTATTTTGCTGAGAAAATACATTTGTCTGTTAAAGTCATGACTCATGGCATGTCTGTTACAGCAGCCCTGGAAAACTAAGACAGATGGGGAGTCTCAATCTTATTGAAAACACTTACATGAGTTTTCTGTTACCTGCAGCCAGATACTAAGGGATGCATCTCTCTCTTCATTAGTTAATGCGTACTTAGCCCAGAAATCTCAAATTGTCGTTTTCAGAAAGAAGGCATCTCTGACTACATCATATTCACCTATTATTCTCATAACCTAGAGTGTCCTCAAGTTCTTTGGTTCAAAGTATTTCTCACAACTATAATGAAGTGTTTGTTGAAGGTTACTGTTTCCCATTAGAACGATCTATCCCTCAATAGAGTTATACTATGTTGTTTACAAATACTAGCAAAATGTCCAGCACATATTAGGGTCTCAGTCAATACCTTACACCTCCTATCAATCCCCCTAAAGGTCACACTTATCGAAGGTCACCAAGTATGGTTCTGAACATCATGGTGTTTATTGATTAACAAATTGATTAATAATTTTAAAAGCTTCATCATCAACTTAGCATGGATTCTTGTCACCATGTCATTTCACTGCCTTCTAGTCCAGATGGTCTACCTGCTCTTGGATAGACTTCTTACTCGGTGCTGGAAGTATGCCATTGAGTTGGCCCTGATTCATAGCAACCCTGTATAGGGTCTCTGAGGTTATAAATTTTTACTGGAGCAGAAAGCCTCATCTTTCTTCGGCAGAGTCACTGGTGGATTCAAACTGCTGGCCTTTCTGTTAGCAGCCCAATGTGTAACCCACTACACTATCAGGGCTCCTTTCTGACCTGCCAGCTGTGTTTATATAATTAAAAAATTAAAAAAAAAAAAAAAAACCGTTGTTGCTGGGTGGATTCAAACTACCAGCTTTTCAGCTATGAGCACTTAGCCGTTTGCACCACATGTTGTTATTGGTCAGGTGCCATCAAGTCGGTATCAGGTATCAACTCATAGGCACCTTATACACAACAGAATGAAACATTGCCCCAATCCTAGGCCAACCTCACAGCACCACATAGAGATTCAATAATGCTTTGGAGTCCTGGTATGGCGCTGTGGGTTAATGCGCCTGACTGTAAAGGCATTTGAGCTGCAAGGTCAGCAGTTCAAGCTCACCAGCTACTCCTCATAAACCCTACACAGGGTCGCTATGGGTCAGAACTGACTAAACGGCACTTACCAACAGAAACAATAACGCTTTGCAGATGTGTTTCATTCTGACTTGGATGTGTGTGCTTCACTTAGAAATGGGTTTTCTGTGTTTTTACAACCAAAAGGAGAACAATAATCTGTGCCAATGGTGTGGGAGCAACAGCTGACCTCCCTTAACCTAGTGGTGAGTGAGGGAGCGGGGAGAGAGAATCACCATCATCCACACTAGCTGCCCTAGGTGGATTCCTGGGAAGTGGAAGTCAGATGTGCCTCCACCCTCCAGCCTTTTTTTTTCAAACCAATTCTGACATCCACTGCCCCTCCCATGGCACTCCCATTTCCCTGTTGGCTTCAATAATTCATTGAAACGGCCACGAAGAACTCACAGAGCATACTCACAGTTATCAGGATACAGTTCTTAGTGAGTCATGCTCAAAGATTTGGCCCCCACCCTACTTGGACAAGTCATACAAAGCTCTTTTAGCTTTGCCCAATAAGTGCTCAAAGGCACCCCACTCTGCAAGCAAGCCTCCTGCATGAAGGTACTCAGCTTCCTCACTCTGGGTGGCTCTGTCGCACGCCAGTCCTGATGCCTCTGCAGCGACTGTTTCTCCGACACAACTGCTCTCACAGCTCTCTGCCTCCTGGATTGAGGAGGTTCAGCAGAGTGATCTCAGGTCGAGCTCTACTCCTGGCTCTTCTTTCTTGATGGTAGTGAGATGCCCATCCTGTCTCTGGAATGGCTCATTTTAAACCTAGAGGAACAGTCCCTACTAATAGCGACCCTGGGTAGAGTTTCCTAGGCTGTAAATCTTAAACCTTATTTGCATGGTTTCACCCCACAAGGGTGTCATGTACCTTATTTACAGCATTAACAAACTATCCAAGGAGGTCTGGTAGCATAATGGTTATGAATTGGGCTGCTAAACTCAAGGTTAGCTAACCTCAAGGTTAGCTAGTTTGAAACTTCCAGCGGTTCCACGAGATAAAGATGAGGCTTTCTGCTCCTGTAAAGATTTACAGCCTCGGAAACCCTGTACAGGGTCGCTATGAATCGGAACCTACTCCACAGCACACCACTACCAACAACAAACTATCCAATCCCCTTAGTGGCCTACAAACATCTCACATGTGCATAATCCTTCTTTGGTGCTGCAGGTTAATGTGCTGGACTGCAAGGTCGGTTTGAACCACAAGGTTCAAGTTCACCAGTCACTCCTCAGAAACCCTATACAGGGTTTTTACGAGTCAGAACCAACTCAACGGCACTTAGCAACAACAACCCTAGTGGTGCTTCAGGTTAGGTGTTGGACTGCTAACAAAAAGGTCGGCAGTTCAGTTCTGCTGTGAGAAAGATGAAGCTGTCTGCTCCCGTAAAGATTTACCATCTCAGAAACCCTAAACAGGGTCACTCTAAGTCGGAATCAACTTGATGGCAGTAGATGGCTGGTCAATTATTGGGAGTTACAAAGACTATAGCTAGAAGAACCATGTTAAGCAGTCTACTGCACCCTACTAACCATTGACTAGCATTTGTAGAACCAATAAGAAAACAACATGATGGTCTAAGAAGGACTCAATCATCACTTCTGTGGTATGCCTGCTGAAAATGAATAACCTGAGAAAACATCAGGCAGACAAACCCGGACAAAGAAATTACCTGAACAATTTCATGAAAAACAAAGGCTGCGGAACTGTTCCAAATGAAAGGATGAGACTAACAACCTAACAACTGGATGGACCACCATGATGGCTAGATTAAATGGTGGTGGTGGTGGTTGCCACCGGGGCAGTTCTGACTCATAATGACCCTGTAAATCTTTACTGAAACAGGAAACAGCATCTTTCTCCTTTAGATCCACTGGTAGATTTGAACTGCTGACCTTGCGGTTAGCAGTCCAGCTCATAATCTGCTACATTACCAGGGCTCCTTAAATACTAGGTCAGGGGAAAAAATTGTCATATGGAAATCACTGAAATGATAAAATTTCAACGTCAATGTTTAATTTGCTGAATTTGGTATTGGGATTAGGGTTGTGTTAAGGAATCTCTTAACCTTAGGAGATATTACAGATGTGGAGGTATAAAGGGTTATTATGTCTGCCACTACTCCTGGGATGGCATTCTAGGTTAAGCACTAAACTGCTAACCACAAGGTTAGCAGTTCAAACCCACCAGCCACTCCTTTGAAACCCTATGCAGGGTCACTATGAGTCGGAACCAACTCAACGGCACTTAACAACAACAATGGCTACTCTGAAATAGTCAAAATAATAATAATATGAGATAGAGGGGGTGGGCAAATGTAGAGAGACATTAACAATTAGAGAATCAAGATCAACAATTGGAGGTCAAGTTTATATGAGTGTTCATTATAAGATTCTTGCAACATTCTGTAAGTGTGAAAGTTTTCAAGATGCAAATTTTTTTTTTTTTTAGAAAAGCTAAGTAGAGTGACTTCTTGTTGCAATCAACCATTTAATTGAGGACAGCAACATTGACAATCAACCGGATGAGACTCATCAGTGCTTGCTTTGTGGGCTGTCTCTGCTCAGAAGTGTCTTCCTAAGTCCAAAGAACCTGTGGATAGAGGGATGGAGTCAAAGGTTGTATTCCATTTCAAGACTAACAGTTCTCAAGCAACACACTCAACCCTGAGGTACAGAACCATGAAATCTGTTCAGAGGGCCACCAGCAGTAAAAGACACCATCCACTCCCACTCCAGGAGAGGTTTTTGCCTTCACTCCACTGTTGTTGTTAAGTGACATTGAATCCGTTCCAACACATAGCGACCCTATATAGGGTTTCCAAGGAACGGTTGGAGAGCTTGAAAGGCCCACCCTACGTTTCAAACCGAATTGCAGTACAGTGCATTAACCCACAGTGGCACACCAGGACTCCTCTCTCAAAAGCCTGCTCTTTGGGCTGACCTCCAGTTTTTATACTATCTTTTGAATGCTCTTTAACCCACCTGAAAGGAATAAATTTGGTAAAAAGGGCACTGTTGGTCGCCAATTGTCAAGTTCCTCAACTTCTCTTATCTCATTCTTCAGCTTGTTGGCGTCCTCCTTCACCCAGAAAGGCAAGCTATAGGAAAAAGAGAAAACCCTCAGTTTGGATTTGTCTGATGCAAAACTTACAAATGCTGTCAGAGGACAAGATACTGCTGTTGTTGCTAGATTTCTGGTCTATAAAAGCACCTACTTGTGACGGCAGTTCCGACTCATGGCGATCCTGTATAGCGGTATCTAAGGAGTGGCTGGTGGGTTTGAACTGCCAACCTTTCCTTTAGCAGTTTATCCTATTGTGCCACACCAAGACACCACTTGCCCCCAAAATGAGAAGACCTTTGTCCTATTTACCCTGTGCTGCTGTAGCAGAAGTATCACAAGTGGGTGGTTTTAAAGACCAGAAATTTATCTCCTCTCAGTTCAGGAGGCTGGCAGTCCAAATTCAAGGCTGTAATTCTAGGAGAAGGCTTTGTCTCTGTTGACTCTGGGGCACAATCTATGTTTTTCTCCCGTTCTGCTGCTCAGTTCCTTGGCTTCTGTCTTTCCCCATGTATACTTATTTGTCTCTGTGTCTACTCTGCTCTTTTCATATCTCAAAAGTCATTAGGTTTATGACACATCTACAGTGATGTGGCCTCATTAACATAACAAAGATAACCCTAATGAGATTATATCCATAGGTTTAAGGAGTGTGATTACAGTACATATTTGAATGAGACACAATTTAATCCATAGGCACTTCCAATTTAGGGAACCATGCTCAAAATAAAGCTCAATGTTATTTGTTCAACACTCATCTCTGCCCCAAACCCAAACCTTTCTACCCTTCTTGGTCCTGCTCTCTGCTTGGGAGGCCACTTCTAGAAGCCTGCATCTCCTTCACTCCTCCATGTCCTCTGACTCTGAACTGGGTTGGCTAATGGAAAGCAGCAATAGGATATCAGGGAATGAGAAGGAAGAAGTTGGAGTATTTCTTACTCAGCTTCTCAACTACTTTCCAGTTCTGGCAGGAACTGTATTTTCCACGGTCTGGTCACAGCTCCTGTCCGGGAGTCCTCATTACAAGGCTCCAGCGCTCACTGCCCTACTAACCATGAGCTCTCTTCTTCTGGCTCAAGGCCTACGCAGACTGTGACAATTAAGGTTTTGTGTCAATTTGGCTGGGCCAAGATTCTCAGCGGCTTAGTAGTTAAGATGTAGTAATCTAATTCACTAGTGTGATCTGATGTGTATATCATCTATGTCATAAATCCTCACTTCTATGAAAGACAATCCAGGAAAGCTAAATAATTTGGTATGTTGGTGACTGATTTCTCATATTTAGACTATTCTAGAAAAGTGTTTATAAAAAAAATGTAAAGAACACCCACACTTGCAGATAATACCCACTTATCCTGGCTTCAGTGACTGGATGATCAGAGCTCAACCAGAAGTAAAAAGAAGAGGGGAAAAAAAAAAGTATTCTCATACAATTTGATGAACTTGACCTATACCTATGGAAGCAGTAGCTCAAAAGAGGGAACAAGTCCTTACAGCAAGAATCATTCCCACCCCCTCCACACACAGAGTAGACAGGGATGGGCAACTTGGACATTGGCTACCCAAAATGGGATGTGGGGGGCTACAAAGGCAAGAAGTGACTGGCTTACAAGCTTTCAAGAGGGAACCTAGATCCAGAGGGCCTGGAGGAAGGTAGAATCTCTGGTGAGTAGTATGCAATCTGACTAGGCAGAGCTGATGAAATGAAATGCAGACAGGTCTCTTGTGATACAATAGTGAATAATTGTTATCAGGACTGATTGTGAGGGTTGGAAATGTAAAGGTGGATGTTTTATAGCAAGGAGGGGAGTGATTAACTTTCCAGTCTAGGAGCGGAGGTCCCTAGGACCATCAAGGGAGAAGAGCAGAGAGTGGGACCCTATCCAGAGAAGCAGTGATGCCTGAAATGGAGCCAGAGATAATGACGTGGAGCGATGGAGCAGCTGGAGATTTTAGATCCAGAGAGGGAGAGCAACGGTGTGCTGAAGACCTGGGGGGTACGGGGAAGGAGTGCATGGAGGGGATTGTAACCATGGCAATGAGATGATATACGATAGAATGAATGTAAGGTTGATGTTCTCCCATGTAAACTATCACATAATTCACAATAAAACATTAAAAATATATATATACAACAAGAGGGAGGTTGGCAGAGGAAAGATAAAGGTACTGGGAGACTCAAGGAGGAATGCAACAGTTAAAGTGAATAGAGGTAAATACTGTTAAAGGGATTGCAACCAGGTAATGAAGCAAAGTATATGATTTGTTGACTGTAAAACTCATGATCTGCTCTATAAACCTTCACTCAGTTCACAGTAAAGTTTTTAAAAATGGTAAAAAAATAAAATAAAATGTAAAACACACACATAATAGGCCCCAATTATGTGCCTTAAGTAATAATGTATTAGTACCCCAGCTGAACCCTAGTGAGACTTGGAGATACTTGTCCACTGTATACACACTTACATAAGACTGACTTGTATCAGAAAGTCAAAGGTTTTCTACTGGCAAATATCTCTTTCTAGGTCAGAACCTATTTGGGTAAGTAAATGAAGTTCAGATGGAGTTGAGAAAAAAAATATGAGAGCGGAAGAATGGTTAATATGGGATAGTCATAATTCCGATGACTTTCTCTCTGCCTCTTAAAGTTCTAACCATCCTCCCACTGCATTCATCTGAGCATCTGTCTTTTCCAGCAAACTCTTAAATTCTGGAAAACAAGGACCTTTATTTTTTGCTCCGTGTAAACTTTTCCATGTGCATACTTAGCACAAACATGGCATATGCCAGTCTGTCAATCATTTCTGTTGAATGCATGAGCAGTCCAGCTACCAATCCACAATGGACTTCATTGTGGCCCCCCCATTAAGAAAATATTTACCAAAGCCGTAGCCCTTATGGTAGTGGTGGGCCGTGGAGTCAGTTTCAACTCATAACGACCCTGCATAGAGTTTCCGAGGCTGTAAATCTTTATGGGAGCAGAAAACCTCATATTTCTCCAGTGGACTAGCTGGTAGTTTCAAACTGCTGCCCTTGAGGTTAGCAGCGGGACTTGTAACCAATACACTACCAGAGCTCCTGCTAGCCTCTATACCTGTGGATAACATCCTGTTTGGAAACAGGGGGTTTTGTTATGATAATGAGGTAATACCCAAGCAGGGTAGGTCTTAAGCCTAATAATTTCTGTGCTATAAAGAGATTGTGTTATAAAATGACCCGATCGCTTCATCTGCATGCGAAAGCTGGATAGTGAGTAAGGAAAACTGGAGAAGAATTGATGCATTTGGTATTCACAAAGAATATTAAAAGGACCATGGACTGCCAGAAGAACAAATAAATCTGTGTTGGAAGAAGTACAACCAGAATACTCCTTAGAAGGGAGGATGGTGAGACTTTATCTCATGTACTTCGGACATGTTAACAGGAGGGATCAGTCCAGGAGAAGGCCATCATGTTTGGTACAGTAGAGGATCGGCAAAAAAGAGGAAGACCCTAAATGAGATGAATTGACATAGCAGCTGCAGCAATAGGCTCAAACATAGGAGTGAATGTGAGGATGGGGCAGACCCGGCAGTGTTTCGTTCAGCAGCTAACAATAGATACAGAGGGATAAACACGGGGAAGAAAAAGACAAACAACAGAAACAGATGCATCTTCAGCCCAGTGAGGTAAAATGAGTTCCTTTATGTGGCCTTTGGCAGCCGTAGCTCTTTGGAAAAATGGCTCCAGACACGTTTCCCCTAACCCCTGAGGAGTTGTTACTTTTACCATTTTATGCAAAAGCAACTTGGCGACCTCCTATGGTGCATTCTACCCTAGAAGGTTTGTTACTTTGTCCAGGGGAGGAGTAGGTCTCTGTGGGCAGAGACTGTCACTTCTGTACACACTCTGAGTTGATTGACATTGCATATATAATTGAGGATTGGTTGAACTCTGAAAGCAGACTGGGATGTATCAATAGCTGAACAGCAGGGGTTCTGAAGACTTTCTGGTTGGCAGGAGCTGGAAGGGAAGCATGTCCTTTGGGACTCAGAGAGAGGACCCTTCACAGTCTGGTGATAAAAGGCTGCAAGTGAGAGAGGTGCTGGCTGCCAGCCGAACTGGCAGAGAAGCAGAGCCACTGAGAATCAAGCAGTCCTAAAGCTGCTGCACTGGCCTTGAGCTGGGGAGAGGCCAAGAGGACAGACAAGCCTGTGAGCCGGGAGCAGCTAGAGCGCTGTTCTGACTGGCTGCTGCCCTGCACTGAAATGAAGGAAGGGATGTTCTCTCTTCCAGACAGTGCCTGTGGGCTTCCCGATTCTGATCCTAAGTTGATCCTGCATTAGTAAGCCACCTAACTGTGAATATGGCCTGTGTGTTCTCTGGGGCCAGTCAACAAATTCTCAAACCCAGTAGAGAAGTGCAGAGTGCCATGGGAGAGCAGGGGCAAGGAGCGTCAGAAATGGTAAAAGACATTGGAGAGCAGAGGTATGTCTTAACCTTCACCTCATTGGAACCAGCTATGTACTTATCCTGATTCTTATCCCTCATGAATTTGTTGTTGTTGTTGTTGTTGTTGTTAAGTGCTGTCGAGTCAGTTCTGACCCATAGCGACCCTGTAGAGGGTTTCCAAGGAGCGACTGGTGAGCTTGCAGTTCAAACCGACTTTGCAGTCTAGCGCATTAACCCACAGTGCCAAGTCTTTAAGCTACAACACACCCAAGAATGCCTAGGAATATCAGCAACTACTGGAAGCTGAAACAAAGAAGGGCCTCCCCCTTAGAACTATGCCTAAATTGTGAGAAAATCAATTTCTTTCAAGCCACCCACGTGTATTTTCTGTTCAGCAGTACTTGATACTAAGACACCCTCCACGTGTCTCTCCAAAAACCCTCCTTACAAACTTTGCCACCCTCCTGCAGGGACTCAAAAGGTCCCTATGTTTCTGGAGTCACTGAACAGGAGAAAATAAGAAACAAATGATAGTTGTACAAAGAAGAAAGAATATATAACATGGTAAGATAACTCACTTGGGAATTGGTGGAAGAGGCTCAAGTGGAATAAATGTATCAAATTTCTTTTTATAAGGCACTCTGAAAAACAGGAAAAGCAACCATAAAATTGGCTTTTATGGCAAAGAGTTCAATATGTCACTGTGTTCAATATAAGGACTTATTTTCTGCTATTGATTTTCATGCATGGGCTTCAAAACTGTAACAGCCATGTTTTTTATTATTTTTGATCATTTTTAATAAACATCATTAAATCACACATGATTTATTTTTAAATAATAATTTAAGTAACACACCAGCTATTTTTCTTTTAATTTCATTATCATTTCTTCTCCTTAACACTTTCGTCTAACTTTGGGTCTCAGTTTAAACCAAGTTAAATAGACATCACTAAACACCAATCTGTGGTGCCACAGGATAAGCACTTCAAAGTTGGTTTGAACTGCAAGGTCGGCGGTTCAAACTCACCAGTCGCTCCTCAGAAGCCCTACTCATGGTAGCTATGAGTCTGAACCGTCCTGAGCACTTCACAAAAACAACCACCAATCTAAGGAGCTCTGGTAGCATAGTGGTTACAAGTTGGGCTACTGACCACAAGGTCTGCAGTTTGAATCTCCTAGTGCTCCATGGGAGAAAGATGAGACTTTCTGCTCCCGTAAAGATGTATAGCCTCAGAAACCCTATACAGGACGCTATGAGTCGGAACCGACTCCACGGCACACACCTCCCTCCCCACCAGTATTTAATCCAGCCATTATGGTACTGTATCCAGTTGTTGCTATGGGTTGGAACCAACTCAATAGCACACAACCACCAACCACCAGTCTGATTCAAAATGGTCATTGAAAAGTCTTCAAATTTGTGATTATAACAATAAGAACAAAATTAACAACCACTCATTGCAGTCCTGGAGTCCTGGTGTGGTGCTGTAGGTTAATGTGCCAGACTGCAAAGCCATTTGAATTACAAGGTCCGGCGGTTCAAGCTCACCAGCTGCTCCTTGGAAACCCCGTACAGGGTCACTATGGGTTGGAATGGACTCAATGGCACTTAACAACAACAACAACAACAATTAAGAACAAAATTAACACCCACTTCTAAATTATAGTCAAGATCTGTTGGGGACCGCAAGCACTGAGATGCTGAGGCCCTGTGTCATGGACGAAAAGCCAACACAAAGGTCCCACTCAGATTGTGGGCCAGGACCCTGAGGGCCAAAGGAAGTGACCGACCTCCTGACGTCCCGGGTTCATTGGCTTTTGCGAACTCACTGGTGGGCTACCTCTGTATAATTTTCTTTGGTCTTATTATTCATTCTATGCTTCTAACTCCAGTAATTGTAGCTTCTGAGAAAATGGTTTCTTATATGCCTTTCTTAATGTCTCCACTGTGTTGGCAGTGCGTGGGGTCCTGGGAACAAATCTCTCTGAGGAACAAGCCCTGGCCACCTGGTAAGCATGTCCAAACTGTTCTTTATCAAATTATTCAGTTATATTTGATATTAACTTAATACATGAGCTCTTGATATCCATGCACCATATTAAAACCAAAACCCTTTCTAAAGCTGAGGCTGTAAAAGTTCCAAAGGCAGGTTTGCTGGGATTACGCAAGGAGGCTTTACCCAGGGTATTCACTCGTAGATTGGTAAATTCTGGGAGTATTGTTTAAGGAATAATAGTGGCAGCCCCTCAAACTGTCCCCAGGTGTAACCCATTAACTTGGATGTCCGCCTTCCTCCTGAAAACTTAAGCCAGGTAGCTGAAACAGCTTGACTCCCTTCAGACCTTTTAAATCCTTTTCACCTTTACCCATTAGAGATTAAGCGCTATAGGTATGTTAATTAGCCTTGAGAAACCTCAAGTCGCTGCTTTAGGATTTAAGCCTAAAAACTAATTTATAACAGTTTGCTTGAATTTTTGGAAAATTAAGAATGTTAGATTATTAAGACAATTTGCGATGTATATTTTAGAATTTGTTCCTGTAATCATTGTGTCCTGTTTTGAACGATTAATCACATTTCATTTCTGTACCCTGTCTTAATAATCACCTTCTTCCTTTGTGTAAAATCCCTCCCTGAAATAAAAGACAGATGCAGATTGAATCCTGCATGCATTACTGCCTGCAGTGCGATGCTGCCTGCTACACAGGGTCTGCCTGCCAGTTTTGCATCCACTCTGGTCTCGGGTGTCTCTTTTTTTCTCTCATTGCGTCTTTGTGTATACTCTTTTTCTATTTCTTTCGCCTCCAGATCTCTCTACTTCGTGAACCAAACTTCCCTGTAGAGGCAGGTCCCCTACAAAGATCCCCTGTGTATAATTTCTATTACACAGATGTGTACATGCACACATTAACTAGATATGAACATTTAAAAAATCTTCACCTTATCTTGCTCTTTTGAGATCTGTTGTTTTATTAAGTCCTATAGACCCTGTATAGGGTTTCTGAGGAGCAGCTGGTGGATTTGAACCTCTGACTTAAAAACTAATTTATATATAGTGGAGAGATACACAATTCCTTTAAAGTCAGCTAAGTAACCCTAGTATTATAACATATACTTACCTTGAAAACTTCACAGATGGAAGAGTTGATCCTGCCTTGTGAAAATCTCTACTCTGTTCTGCATACATATATGGATTGTCCCCTGGAGTTAACTTTGGAATTCCATTCCTGGAATCAATATCTGTGAAAGATGTTTGGAAATGGAATCACACGAAGGGCTGAAGATGACCCACAGATTTGCTCTAACTAAATATTGATATGTCAATGGGAAATAAAATGATTTCATATTTTATTATAAAATCCTAGGTTTCTTAAAGTTCTGTTTGTGATTATCTCACGTTGAGGAGATGAAGATAAAAATGTGAGCCTATGTTTGGAACATTTTCTTTTTAAAATGTTGTTATGATTACCCGACCCTAAGACCAAGAATAGACTTAGGTTCTATTACCAGTTGCATTGTGTCCTGCCAGAATATCTGTTAGAATGGTGGTGGTGGTTATGTGTCATGGAGTCAGTTCATATGTTAGAATAATGACACTTATACTTGTGAATGTAATTCTGTTTAGAAGCAGGGTTTTCTTTGTTAGGTTAACGAGGCCCTATCAGTAGATTTAGGTAAGATCCTAAATTTAATCACTTTTTCATTATAGAAAATAGCAGATTAGACACGACATAAGCATATACTGGGGAAGATAGATATATAATAATGGTAATGTGGGCGTGCTATAAAAACAATCCTTACATATATTTGTGAAATGTGGAATGTCTGGAGTTTGTTTGAAAGTAATCCATGGGAGAGGAGTAAAGAGGAAGCAAGTTTTACCCTGTGTTGATTACTGAAGTTAAATGATGGGCACATGGGGGTTTTATTATGCTATTTGCTCTACTTTAGTCCATTAATTTCCTTAATAAAAAAGTGCTCGTTTTTAACAAAGGCAGGACAGTGATTACTACTGGAGTAAGGGAGGAAAGCTGGTGGATTCAGGGAGGGGCATACTGGAGGCTTAAGGTAGATATAAAGGTAATAGTATTTTTAATATATGGTCAGATTTATTCTTCCCAGCTTAAAGAGGAGAGGACTGAAACTCAGAGATGTCAAATGGCTTCAGCATGACCCATCAGTTAGTAGGTGGCGGAGCCAGAGGGTGAACTGGTCCTTGCTCCTTCTCCTGCCATAACGTCATCCTATTCCTCTGGATCCAAAACGCACCCATCCTGCCATTCCTCTGTGTATGCTCCCTGCATGTCTTGCTTTTCTTTTTCAAATGGTCCTTTCTTTTTTGTATTCAGCAGGCATCCTGGGAATTCCTTTTTCTTAAATGGAGAGAGAAGCACCCAAGTGTTTGTGATGTATTTTATTCTTTATGTTAAACAAGTATTCCACAAACATGAGGGTGAGTCAAAAAGTATTGCTACTAGGGTTCCAGTGCATGCATACCATTATTGCCAGAGTGCCTGAATCCCAACGCATAACAACCCTACAGCACAGAGTAGGACTGCTCTCTATTGTTTCCGAGGCTGTAAATCTTTACAGGAGCAGACAGTCTATCATTCTCCAAGGAGCAACTAGTGGTTTGAACCACCGACCTTGTAGTTAGCAGCCCAACACTTAACTCATTGTACCACCATAAGTGTTTATTCCAAACAAAATGTGTTTAAATATGTCTCTGCATTCAATGGCTGCAGACAATGTGTTCTCTCAGCAAAACATTTGTCTGTTGTAATCTCCTTGCTGTCATTGTTGTTAAGTGCTGTCAAATCGGTTCCAACCCACAGTGACCCAATATAGGGTTTCTGAGGAGCAGCTGGGGAGCTTGAACCATCAACCTTGCAGTTCAAATTGAACGTGCAGTCCAGCACACTAGCCCTCAATGCCACACCAGGACTTAGGGTACCTTAAAAAAACAGTCCAATTGAAACACTGGCTTCAGAGAGGATATCCTAGACCAGTTAAATTCAAGACAGAGGGGCCAGCTCAAAAAGTTTTGGAGACAGTTTTGGGGGATCCCAATGGGTTATCTGGACAGATTTTCTCTAAGGACACAGGACAATTATAATGGCTTATTATGAAGAAGTTTTAAGAAAATTAAAAACTGCATGAGTGAGAAAATGCAAGGAAAATTTCACCCAGGAATTTTTTTCCCTATCACAACAACGCAACTATTCATCCTTCCATGATAGCAAGTGCTGTCCTACGAGAATTTTGTTGGAAAACCTTACCTCACTCATCCTAAAACTCTAATCTTGCCTCTTCAGACTTTCTGTTCCCAAAACTCAATAGACATTTCAAAGGAACATGATTTGAGGCTTTTGAGGATGTCCAAACTGCCATTTTGATGTGGTGTAAATTGAAAACACAGAATTTTGCGGGGGAAGGATTAGAGGGCTAGACACATTGCTTGCTGAAGTATATAAACCTAGATGGAGGCTATGTGAAGAAATAGTAGCTTCACATTTTTTGTCTTTTCAGCTACTAAGGGTTTCTACAAGGAGCTCTGGTAGCGTAGTGGTTACGAATCGGGCTGTGAGCCGCAAGGTCAGCAGTTCGAAACTACCAGCGGTTCCGCGGGAGAAAGATGAGGCGTTCTGCTCCCGTAAAGATTTACAGCCTCGGAAACCCTGTGCAGGGTCGCTATGAGTCGGAACCGACTCCAC